CGCCATGGTCAATGAGCCAGAAAGGAAACGAAGTCCAAGCAGAGCCGGAAAGAGCTCAGGGTACCCTGAGGGTTAGGGCCCCTTACAGCAGGGGCCGCCATGATGCCTGGACATCACCACTGTCACCAGACCCCAGAAGAACCCAAGCAGTCCCCTGCTACATACCCTTCAAGCTGCCCCCAGATGCTCATGAGTGGCTGAGTGGATTCCTACTCCCAGGGACCTTGGAGGACAGAGTAAAACCGTCCTATGGGGTTTCCTAGGCTACAGTTTTCATGGGAGCAGTTCACCAGGTCTTTTCTCCCACAGACAGGCTGGTGGGTTCGAACCACTGAACTTTCAGTTAGCAGCCAAGTGCTTAACCATCGTGCCACTATGGCTTCTCCACCCCCGATGTTAATGGCCCCAAATATTTGGTCCGGTTTTTGAGCCCTGGGGAATGTGCTAAGCTCGCTCTGGGCACAGACAGGCTCTAGCAGGAGTGGGCCTGTCTCGGCATCAGAAGACCAACGACATCCCCAGCAGACGGGCATCCTGCAGGTTGGTCCTTGCCACAAAGCCACACAGGGCAGCTGGCCTGACAAGGTTCGCAGGACCCAGTACTCTCTAGTACTGGAGCCCCTAGCTCCACCTATACCCAGGACAAATACAGTGGGTGGATGTCCATCGGGGAGCCTGGGCCAAGCTTCCCTAGGTCGGGGCAGTAGGCACGCTAGAGCCTGGCAGCCTATGCCAGCACTTCCTGTCTGGGCCTCAGTCCATCTGCACTGTGCCGAGCCCCCGCCACACACGTGAGCAGCTCCGCTCACCTGCCCAGGCCCTGGCTTGTCCCACCCACAGCTTTGGCACCTGCTTCGTTCCCACGCCTCTGGCAGCAGCTCCTGGATGCCAGCCCAACCACCAAGGCCCTGGGCCGGAGGCTCCTCCCGGCCTTTGCTGAAGCATGTTCACTCATTCCCCATCCCTGTGATATGGTACATACATATATATACACACACCCTCCCAGGAGAGGAACCTCAAAAGCCCGGCTGACATAAGGACAGCCAAGAGTGGAAGGGGATCACTGGGCCGCCGTCCACCCCAAGGTGCCCGCTGCCCGGGACAGAGTCCTGCATGTCCTCTCTCAAGTGCATCGGGGCCAGGCTCCCGGAAGTCAGGGTGCTAATCAAGCGTGTGGGGAAGTGATGGGGTACTGCTCGCCCATCCCAGAGAGGGGGACACACGTGCTGCAAGGGTGGCCCGGGCCCACAGGTTGGCCTCCCAGTGGCTGGCAGCAGGCCTGAGCAAGAAGCCCTAGTGGGCAGGCTCCCCGTGCACCCTGAAGCGGTAGATGCACGTGTACTCAGGGTGGCCCCAGTTGGTCAGGATCCGCAGCTCCACCACCTGGTATGTGGCCATCTTAGGGTCCTGGGCAGAGAAGGCAGACATCAGGAGCCACATGGATACCTCTACACCCGCAGTGACAGACAGGGTGGGAGGTGGAAGCACCACCCAGGGCCCAGAGGGCGCCCCTCCTGTCTCCCTCCTGCCCCCTGGGCCTCTGAGGAGAACTGGCCTTTCAAAGCCCCTGCCTTCACACTCGAGCAATTTCCAGTCTGTAGACCAAGGAGCCCCAGAGCTTCACCATCCGTCCCTACATGGCCCAACCTTGTGAGCCCATGCCAGGCCTGGCCCACCGGCCACAGAGAAATGGACGGTGAAATCAGGAATAAGATAGACATTCAGCCAATATCAGGACTAATTCAGAGCAGTTGTTCTTGTCATGACATTATCAACAAGTAGAGCTATCTTCCCGGAGGGCTTGATGGTACTGGTTGATGTTTGGAAGGAATCTGTGCTCTGAATTCAGCAGGATTCCCTCCTCTCTCAAGCCCCGTCCAGCCCCTGGTCTCTAGCTCTGCCCTCTATGTCCACGGTTTCGCCGGCTGAGGCCTGCACTCTCCTGGCTGCCTCTCTCCTCCCTGGCACACTCGGCATGCGGCCTCTACTCCTAGAACACCCTTCCTGGTCACGCCAACTGTGCTCCCATAAAACCTGCCTCTGGCTCCTTTTCCAGAGCCTTCCCTGGCTCTGCCTGTGTGGCCTGCTGCTCCACGGGGCTCCCCACGCTTGACACAGAGTCTCCTGTTCCATACCTTGCGTTGTGGGAGGGCGGGGGCTCTCTCTCTGCTCCCCCTAATGCCCAGCAAAGGCCCTGCCACAGAGTAAGCACTTGGAAACTATGTGCTGAGTGGAGGACAAAGTGGATATGCCCCCTCTGCTGACAGGACAAAATTCTGTACCTGAAAGTGAAACGTCTGGATGGGTTCCCCGTCCTGATCGTAGGTGAATTTCCCAAGAAGTGTCCCCTCCTGCTGTAGGTCTTCGTCAAACCCCTGCAAAAGAGAGCAAAGGGGTGGCTGGCAGGAGACAGGGCACATGCTCTGAGCCACGGCCCGGCCACCTAGAAGGGAGAGACGCAGAGATGGGCTGGGAGAGGACCCCCAGTTTGCAACGAGATGTTCTTTCATCCCCTCCCAAGCTCCCACGCCTGCCCCCTCACGCCTCAGCTGGACTGGAGGGGGTTTGCTGTGTGGCCTGTGACAAGTCACTTAACCCTCTTGTGCCTCGGTTTCCTTCTCAGGAGCCCGAGACTTTCCACTGTTCTCTGGCTCCATCTCCCCCAGGATCTGCTCCCCCTGCCCAGCCGCTTTATCCGAAACACGGGAGCTCCCAGGATCCTCCTACCGCCCCTCCGGCCTCCACACAGCCAGTACTCACAAAGATGGCAAAGTCCCTGGGGGCGCTGGAAATGGTGCTGTTGGGTGACAGGGATTTGGGCACATGCTCCAAGGTGATGGCAGTGGGGCGGATGCGGGCAGAAAGGCGTACAACGGCAAAGCCCTGGGGGCCCTGGAAGGCCCAGCAGTTGCCTGGGTGCACGTCTGGCTGGAGTGGAGGAGAGTCGTGTCAGTCAGGAGGGCTCTGGGACGAGAAGCCCTGCCCACGTCCAGCTCCGACAGCTGCTGCAGAGCATGCATGGCCTCAGCCAGCCGTGGGGGTGGAGGGGCGGCCACTTCCATGCTGGTCCTTGTTTGGGACCTACCTGGAGAATGACCCGGGGCGACTGGGAGTGGTACCACAGGGGGATGCCAAAAAGGCTGAGGAGGGCTGTCTTGGTCTCGTAGGTCTCAGAGCAGCGCGTGCTGATAACACTGGCCCCTAAAATGGGAAGGGCAGGCCAAGTGGGCACTGGGGCTTGGCCACCAGCAGGCACGGAAGCCCAGCCAGCCAGCTCAGCTCGCCAGCCAAGGGAGGTGGGGTGTGAGGGGCCACAGCAGCCAGCGGAGGGGCCGCTGCCCTTCTCAGCCCTCTCCCCAGAGCTCTCCTCGCCCTGCCCAGCAGCGAGCAGTCGGCAGCACTTGCCAGCAGGAACGGTGCTCTGAGCAGCCCCACCTCCCCGACCTGCTGAGGCCTGGGGCCAACGCTAGGCTGGCTCGTTGATTTCCTCTGACTCCAGCCTTGCTGGCTGGCCTAGCACCTCTACGGCCCTGGCTCAGGCCGGGGGCTGACGGGACCAGGGACTGGGGTGAGGCAGAGAGGAAGACACCCCACCTCCTGACTCCAGAGCGTAGTCCACCATCCCAATGCGGTCCTCACTGTAGCGCTTCAGGGCCTGGTTGACAATGTGGCGCACTTGCTAAATGTAGCAGAAGGAGAGCGATACTCAGCATTGCGGACGCCACCAGGCCCCCACCGCCCCAGGGCCCCATGCACTGAGCCCTCATAGGCTCGCACCAAGCAGTCGCCTATGAGGCTGGGGGTCAGGGCATACACTGCGCTCACCTTGCGTACCTACACCCACCCACCCGTGCCATCAGAACCCTGTGTGTCACTCCTGAGCTGCAATGTTCCAAGGAGCCAGCAGTGTGTACAAGGGTGACCTCACCTCCTCCGTCACGCCAGTCACGCCTTCCTTCTGCAGCGTCAGCCCCAGGCTGGCCGCAGCCTCCTTTGCAGACTTGCCCTGCATCTCTGCCACGTGGGTGAGGATCCTGCCCTCCAGCTCCTGCAGCCGGGCTTCCACCTCCTCTCGCTGCAGGAATCCCAGGTGGGCCGCCCCGCCTTGGAGAAGGAACTGAGTGACCCAGGCAGGGAACTGCGACTCTACCTGGGGACCAAGAGCAGGTCTCACTCAGGGAGGCTCTGGGAAGAGCAGGAACTGATGGTGGGCCCGGGCTGGGACAGGCTCGGCCAGGGCGACGGGTTAGGCAGGGAGGCCAACCCACGCCTGTTTGCTGCCACATAGAGGAAAGAGCTGTCAACCACCCTCCTAGAGCATCCGTGGAAAAACAGGAAGAACTCCTGTGCAAGCAGGCCCCCACTGTGCCAAGTCCAGAGACGTGGTCTCACGGGAGTGAGAGGCCATGGGGCAAGAGGCTGTGCCGTGTGGATTCCAGGAGGAGGGGGCGTTCAGCATGGACCTAGCACCTCTGCGTGAGTGTCATGGGTGGTTCCAACTCACGTCATCACGCACAGCCTGGAGCTGCTGGGGCAGCAGGCCCACACGGTCCTCCACAGAGCCCTGCTTCTGGGCCAGGGCTGCCAACTGCTGCTGCACGTCTGCCAGCTGGCCCTCCAGCCGCCCCAGCTCCTTCATGGAGCTCTCCTGGAAGGATTCCTGGGTCATCCTAGTGCCAGGGAGAGAAGAGTACGCCTTGGACTTTTTTGAGGGGAAAGGCCACGCTGATGAAAACAAGACTTGTAGGCATGGATAATTTAAATTGCAGTTGAGCGTGTCCAGGCCAACTCTTGGAGCTTCTGGCCCCAGAACGTAGCCAAAGGGCCTATGCATTGGCTTGCTTATCCCAAGGAGCTAATTTTGAGGCCGTCTCCTCTCTAAGCCCAGAGCCCCTTACTCAGCCTAGAGCCCCTTACTCAGCCTCAACCTCAAACCTCCTGGGTAGTCACAGATGACCAGGGCATGGAAGTGCAGCCTGCAGGCTGGACAGGGAAGACGGTGTGTCCCAGCCTTACTGCTGTGCCCACCCCCACCATCAGCCACCGGGCACCCGCTAATTTCCGCTCACAGACAGGCTCTAAGCAAACCGGAGCCAGGTTTGCACCACTGCTGTCTTGAGAGCTCTGCTCTGCTCTGAGACCCTGCGCCCCAGTCCTGTCCAGGGAGGGAGTGTGGGGAAGGGGAAGAAGCAGACCAGACAGTGGGCCGTTACCTTTGCCACTCCGACTTCAGTTGCTGGAGACGAGCCTCAGACTCCTGTAAGCAGGAAGCGGGGACAAACACAAGAAATTGCAAGCTCAGTGGAATTGGCCTCCTGGAGTAGGCTCTATGCTGCTGTCTTTGCTTAATCACAGCCCTGCCCCAGTGTTCCCTAACTCCCGCAGCAAACTTTACACAGTCTCCTGATCAAGTATGCACTTGGCCTTCATCCATCCACTCATTCATTCAGCACGTGTATGCCCAGCACAACAGGCCTTCTGAAAGCAGCCCTCCTTGTCCTCAAACCCTCCCAGTGAGTCCCTGGAGAGTGTTCCCATTGAGGTGAGTTCGGTTCAGAGAAGTCAGTTACCCCTCTCCCATTCTACTTCTAAGCAGACACTTTGGAAGGGCCAAAGGTCCAAGAACAGATGTTGAATTGGGTCAGAACCCCACTGTGGGGCCCTGGGTAGATGCCTCCACACCCGCCTGACCTGGGAAGCCTGGACAATCTTCTTGAAGAGGTCTTCGGAGTCTTGTTGGTGTTCTGCTCTCAGGCTGGCCAGCTCTTCCTGCCAAACACGGAGCAGAGAGACTGGATTATAGACTCATGCTTGGAGGTCTGTGTAATGTGTGAACCCAGGTCTGTCTGAGCCAAAGCTTGACCTTTTTATACTACAGCAGGTCTTTAGTGCACACCTCTGTGGTATCAGGCATCGCCTGGCACCTTATTTATAATCTCATATCCTCACCATTTGACTGCTAACCAGAAGGCTGGTGGTTCAAACCCACCAGCCACTCCTTGGAAGGAAGACTGGACAATCTACTTCCACAGAGATACAGCCTTGGAAACCCAAGGTGGGGCTGCTATGAGTTGGAACAACTCGACGGTAGTGAGTTTGTTTTTTTTTTGTTTTTTAATCCTCATTAGTGTCGGTGTAAGGTATCAGAGTCTTCATTTCTCTGAGGTTCAGAAGGGCTGAGTGATGGCCAAGTGGCAGAGCTGTCTGAGCCCTGGGGGTACAGTGCTAGCTCTCACATTGGGGTGCAGGGTCCTGGGCCTCCCACCCCCCCCCCCATGCCGACAGTCACGTGTTCCCACAGGAGGCATCCATGTAGGACACTCAGGCCCCGCCTGCAGGCTACTCAACCTGGATCCGGGCAGCCATGTCCTTGCGGAAGTCCTCCCTCAGGGCAGCCTCACGGCGGCTCACGATCCCTTCCAGGAGCACTAGGGTGTCCTCGTGGCTCAGGCTGCCCCCCCGGCCACCGCCCTCTCCGGTGGCCCCCTGCCGCAGCTCCAGGCGCTCCAGCCGCATGGCCTCCTTCTGCCAGTTGGAGGAAAATTCGGCAGCAAGAGCTTCTAGGCGCCGCTCCAGAGAGTGTACTTGGGACAGGATACGCTGTTCGGCCTGGTGGGGGGAAGGGGAACAGCAGGGAGGTGAGTAGCCTGTGTCATCAGACAACTGTGCTCCCCGAGATGTGCCATTCCTAGACGGAGACACCACACACAAATGGGAGAGAATCCAGAAACACCCACATGCCAACACCCCCTTGGCTCTGTCTGCCAGAGACTATCAGGACAACTACCCGCCCTGGAGGCAGGTGAGTTCAGTGGCAGGTAGATGCCCTGGGTGGGGGCGTGCAGAGGAGGGGGCTGGAGTGGTGCTAGTGGGGGTTACCAGGGTA